GGGGAATTGAGAAACAACGTCATGATGGAAATGTTTCGGACTTGCCACGAAGGGATTGAGAAAAATGAGCAATTGTGATAATATGCGATTGTCCACCTTTTAATCTGTTTTCGCAATAAGCTTCAAGCGCAAGTCAGAAATGAAGGACATTTCTCAAACCCAGATTCATCATTTTCCATTTAAGAACTTAATTCTCCTCACTACAACTTCCATTATTTAATAATCGAACGACTAATTTGGAAAGGTGGAGAAAAAAAAATGTGACACGGCCAGGAAAAAAAAAATCATAACATGAAAAAAGTAGAAATGGGGAAAAAAGTTGCAATGAAACACAAATCAAGTCATAAAAACCCACAGAAGACGGTGAGACGCCGCGTGGCGGCGAGCGCGCTGACTGGGTTGCTGACGGTGCACGTGTAATCTCCGGCGTCGCCGCGCTGGCCCGGGTTGATGACCAGCGATCCGCCGGCGATGGCGATCCTGCCGTCTTCCGCGATGGCCGCGCCGTCCTTACCCCACTGGAAGGTGAGCTCGGTGCCACCCGAGGTGCACGTCAGCGTGATGTTCCCTCCTTCCGTCGCCACCGAAGGCACGGAGAGCGCCACCCCGGACACGGCGTCTATTCAACAAACGCACGCAATCCACGTTCATCATGAGGGATACGGAATAGGATCCATTTAGAGTGGACGTATAGGCGCACACACACACACACACACACACACACACACACACACACACACACACACACACGAACATACAAGCACACATACATACTGGATATATTTTTATACCGATAAGTAACATACTTCGTATTTGTTGATGCTAAGGGGCGTGCCTGGAGATTATTTCATACAATCCAATACATCCTGATTTATTTCGCGCTTTCACAACAGCTGCAGTTGTAACAAAGCGATTTGTTACAGCCCATAAAATATATTTTCACAATGTTTTCATCATTTTCAAATACGGTGTTTTTTTTTAGGAATGTTCGATACTACTTTTTTTTTTTTTTTTAACAGACTGAGGATTCTTCTATTGAGTTCTCACCGATACAACTCGAACAAAATTCCAAGTAACTGAATGACACATCATTCTGAAAAAAGACCTCTCGGTCTTTCTGCCGCAAATGAGGAGTCGCCGATGTGTTGAACGGCCGCAACGTTAACCATCTCTTGGCAAGTTAGACTTATTTGATGTCAGATGTATTTAATTATTATATATATTGTATATTTTTTTTACCGTAAGTATCAGAGGCTGGTATCGGCAGCCTCCCCAAGTGACAGATACCTTGAAATAAGGCCGGCATCATGCTGATACCGATGTTAGTATTTTTAGTTTGGTCACATTTATGATGTCCTCAAGCGTTCTGCAAGGTGCCTTCAATAAAATCACTCATAAATGACCACGTTGGCAATATTCTCTTTTATCATTCTAAGTTATGCATCATGAAATAAAAGAATTACATGTTTTGTGACTAATAATAGTATCCACTCGATGTCATGAACTCGAGCTAAAGCGAAACTATTTTTGAAAATACTAACCGCGTCTGTCTCTTGTTCAAACACGAGCTTTGTTGTTTGATCATTTATTCGATAATTCATCCCCCTGACGATGTTGATGGAGGAGATGACCCCGACATGTCCAACTACACATGTCCAAGGGATTGGTCACATCATGCGACCGCTCCTCTCGACAGGTCATTACAATGACCGCAACCGTGCACGATAAGCAATCGCTCCAAAATCCAGAGCGCACTCGGCCACACGCGTGTAGACATGTCATGGTTCACGCGGTCGTGCTTCTCGCTCGTTACGAATGATAACCGTCCCCGTGCACAAGAGAAGTCAACAAGAATGCCGAGAAATAAACTACGGGCGCATGCGGAATGTTCTGTCTTTGTTGAATGACTGCGATTGGGCCTCTCGCCAGTCATTCATGTCAGACGCCATCTTGCGCGAGAGAAAGCAACAGAATCGGTCAAATGAAATGAATAGTGCGTACACTCAGGCAATATGCCAGAGCGATGTGCCTGGGAAGATGACCGCCGTCTCTTCTCACCAGTTATGGATGATGGTCGCAAAATTATCAGGACAAGTCCAAGTCATCCGAAATGTCAAGTGAAAAAGGTCATGGCGGACATATCCCGTATAGAAAGACTCGAAATAGTAATCCACATTCAAAAAAAAAAGATGGCAATCAACATGCCATCGCTTCTCTCACGAGTTATTCTCATTGCAAAAACGGGAAGAAGCGAACCCCGTTCAATCATCCACAGAGGAAAAACAAAAATGTGCAGTCCACACATATGCATATGTGCAATGTACGATCAAAGACTCAAGATTATTTCTTGCTTAATCCGTGTTTTTTTTTTTTTAATATCAGCACTTACCAAAAACCCTGAGTGGGACCGATCTGGAGTTTGGCGTCAGGCCCGTGGAGGCGAGCGGGACCACCTCCACCGTGTACGTGCCGGCGTCCCCCAGCCGGGCGCTTGCGATGCGCAGCTGCGTGGCCGTGATGGCGACGCGGCCGCGGAACTGCGCCACGTCGTTGATTTCAGGGGAGCCGCCGACGAACAGGCCCAGCGTCACGCCCTCGTAAAGCCACGTCATGGACAGCACGTCCGGCACGGTCAGCACCGTGAACTGGATTTCGCCCCCGCTAAGCACCAGGACGGGGTCGGTCTGGAATTGGATCTGGATCTGGTCCTGCGCGCGCACCGGGACTGCAAGGCAAACATGATGGTGGAGACTTGGCTTTGTGATTTTGGAAGCAGTACACAGAGTGGAGCAAATGCGTGACTTATGACGCGTACGTTACAGGTGCGGGTAACCGTGCGTATCGTGGACGCTTTTGGCTGTGGATTATTGCCAATCCTTTTGGGTTTTTTTCTTTTGTGCAAGAAGAGGCGCCATCACATTCGTCATGAAATCTGTCGTCTGGGTGCATTTGACTTTTTCTTTGGCCTTTTTCAGCATCACTTTGTTGTTCTTTTCGAGAATGAAAATGAGACACACACTGCATTACTGATACTGTGTTATGATGAGACTTATTTTTACACTTGTCACACTGGTCACATTTTGACCCCGGAACTGACTTTTTCTTTTTTTTCCTCCATGATGAGATGAGCAGAAACAAAATGAATGACTGCGGCAATTATCCTGACCTAGTTATATGATTGTCACAAGCGAGCCATGTCCCCACAGCGTCCATAGACAAGTGTGTATGGACACAAAGTCGCGTACAAAGAACACGCGCAATTCACATTCGTGAAGGACTCCAAAGTCCAATTACTTCCTGTTTTCATAGCCAGGTTAATGACTCGCCATTATTTATTATTTCAAAGAAGCTCGATTAGGGGGAAAGCTAAAACAGATGTCCTCAGACTGCATGCGGGGCTCAATCACCATTTTGCCAAATCAATTTTCAATAGACAGCGGGGGGAAAATGACTATTCAATTAAAGGAGAATGTCAGAAATTATGACTTGAATGATGATTTCTCCTGCATGAACGGCGGGCCCCGGACGGGCAGCAAATTGAAATGTGATTTCAAATTACCGGCACCTCATTTTCAAAGGGCTGGTTGCTGCAACGCAAACATGCGGATATCTCTGATGCTCGGTTTTGTTTGTGTTTTTTTTCCCATGCGAGTGCACCAGGCAGTGTGGGTTGGGGGAGGGGGGGGAAACCCACATTTTGCTGACATTATAGTCAAGAATCTTCTCATGTTTATTACAATACACATTTGCAAATATCACCACAATAAAAATCATTTCAATGTTGTAACTAATTGAAGGATAAGAAAAACAAATACGAGTTATTATGGAAATAAACCATGATATTATTCAATGAATTATTATTTAATTTTCATATTTTTGATAAATAGTCTGCTTCTCTGGACTCTTCAGTGAGCCAGCAATCTTATTTTTCTAAGCATGTATATAGTTTTCTGTCTTTTTTTTCCTTGACCACACATACTGTATTTATTTGTGAAATAAACGACACAAACTATATTTATATGATAAGTGCTATCTGATGATATCTGCAGTTAGCCAAACGGACCACAAGTAAAGTGACTACATTTAAATGCATGATTACTGTCAATGCATTGGTATGTATTCCGATAGATATATTCATTTCTGGAACAAATGGGGAGGGGAGGGGGAGGGTCATATTTGTTATGAAGTGTAATATCACAAAAATGAATGCCTCGCTACTAATACAGGCGTGTTTCAGCAATTGAGTAACAAAATCCAGAATTCAATTCACAAAAGTGTCATAACAACATTGTACAAACGCTATTCCGCAAATTCAAGTCTCTCCTTAATAAACATCTCACCCCTAATAAACACTTTTGATTTGAGTAAACAAGTCTCTTGTTGTGCATATTTTATAATTTGTTGTATTGATTCACATTCACATTAATTTCGTACACCAACATTTAATTTTAAATGACTTGAAAAACACTCAATTTCTGTTTATTTTGGCAACGGCTAGTCCTGACGTGTTGCGTTCACTGTTACGCGTTTCGATGAATGAAAGCAAATATCGCTAAACATTTAAATTACGTCTTCTTACACCGGATCAACAGGGACACTCGGTTATCAATAGGAAACATTTAAAACCATTAACGAGCTCAACGCAGTTCAAATTTGTAAACAATCACCATCTCGACGATGAAATATTACATTTACGAGGATGGGATGAGGCTTTGAAGGCGTCACGACAGGAATGCGGTTGCGCGGGCTGAGGAGGAAGACAAATGAAAGGAAAGGCAACTTTGCGGTCCGAAGGCTTTTCCCCCCCGCACCTCCTGTGGACGTGTTTGAAATACCACGCAGCTCGTTTTGTTTTCTTCTCACGTCACCGACTCGGAGGCCATTTGGGGGCTCTTTTTGAAAGCTGGAGCCAAAAGACAGTGTCGGGTTTTTTTTGTTGTTTTTTGTTTTTACCTGCCAGTGAGAGCCCAACCAAGTAGGCCACAAGTAGTCTCATGTCGCCAGTCAGGACGCCCCGTGGACAAAGTGGACTTTTTCATCAGCAAAAATGCCCGCGGCAATGATGCATCCCAAAAGGAATTAATGCTGTAAGTTTCTAACTTCCGCCTATGTGCTATTAAAACAAACAGACGATCCCTCCTTTGTGGAGGTAATCAGTTTATTATTAACTTACCGGCGCATGCTATCTTCCCGGGCATTTTGATACGTGATTAAAGTCATGCTGAGTTTCGGGATGTTGGGATAGTGATGTCAACTTCCGGGTTGTTCGTCCCTCCTCCCTGTCACCGATACACCTGTTCTCTTAAAGGGCCAGCACCCTAAACCCCGGGAGCGGCGAAGCGATGCACTGACGTGGCGGCCATGTTGGAAGGGGCCACGCTCTCGGCAAAGGCAATTAATTCATGTGCATTGAAACTAAAGTATAACCGATTTCCATGATATTACCCTCTTGTCGACATGAACGCATTAGCGTTGATTATGGAACATTTGAAAGAACAGTTTACCGCCTGTAGCTTAGCACTACTGGAGGCGCACAGCTCAAAGGGCCACTTCATACCCACCAACTGTTTAGCTAAGAAACCAAACAGGATACTTTCAAAAATCACCCACAATACCACAGGAGCATTTTTTTCCACCCAGCATTTATTGGGGCGGAGGAGGGATTTACTGAAGAACCTTTTCACGATGTTATGAAACATATTTTATTATTTTTACCTGGGCTCGAATAGACGTTTACATTACAATGATTTAAAATAAAGCATTTATTATTATTATTTAAAAAAAAAAAATTCTCAGTATCTATCAGTCGGCTCACACGGGTAAGCGTTCATTGGCTGGGGCGTTAATTTTGTTGAAGGGCATTTTTTTTGTATTTTTTTTATATATGATATTAAATATGCAGTAGTTGTTCTCATTTTTTTCCCGTATAATACCACGCCGGCATTTCTTTCCTCAACTGCAGAAACCGTGAAGCATCTATTAGGGATGAGGCATTTATTTTTCCATGAATAATGATGCTTGATGAAGGAATGTCTTGTGATACATCCCGAAGAGCCCAATGTATTTTGTCCCTCGTTGACTCCTCAGCGTGCGTGGTCAGCGTTCTTTGGTTGGAGGCGTTTATTGATTGAAGAGCATTTTGGGAAATGATCTTAAAGATGCGGGATTTGTTCTTTTTTCCATATCATACCACGTGGGGATTTCTTTCTCTCTTCCTAAGCATCCACAGTGTTAGGAATAAGGCCCTTAATTTCCCACTGATAACGAAGCCAAATTAAAGTCCCAGAGAGCTCAATGGATTTTGTCTCTCGCCAGTCTTCGTTTTAAGTGTTTTGCAACATGACTCAAAGCTTTAAAACATTTCATGGCTTGATGATAATTCAAGCTAATCATTTCTCCAACGCTTCCGACACTATTTTTGAGTGAGCAGATTTCATGGCTTGATGATAATTCAAGCTAATCATTTCCAACGCTTCCGCCAATATTTGTGAGTGAGCAGGAAACAATCCGAGCGCCGAGCCGTATGGTTGGGCAAGGAAAAAAAGAGAGAGGGGGGGAAAAAAAAGTGAGCGAACAAACAATTTGTCTGCCGCAAAGCTGCACCGTAGGCAGCGGTGACTCTTAATCGCCTTCTTCCCAAACGCTTCCTGCCAGCCGGCTGAGGCATTATGTGAGAGGAGCAAGGTCAAAGGAAGAAGCTGTTCAATTATTAAAAGGCAGCCAGACTCTCTGGCCTTGTTTTGCTTGGCTTTCTCTGATGCCCTTCAACGCATCGCGTTGATTTAATGATAAACATGGAGTACATGGCAAGCGGGAGGCAGGTACACCGCTGTCTGATTTGATTTTTTTTTTGCTTTTTTTTTCCCCCCCCCTTCCAGCCGGAGGCAACCCACCTGAAAGGACGAGTTGCATTTTTCATTCAAAGCTTTGTTGGAATTGATCTTTTGTTCCGGTCGCGAGTGTCGCCAATGTGTGATTCTTTCATCTCTGAGTGAAGATGAATATTTCACACGTGTTTAGGAACAGAATCTGCCAAACTTGAAGTTTCTCACACTGTTCGAACCGATCCACAAAAAATGGTGATTATTTGATTTGAACAAAACGCCCTCAAGATGACGGTCCTCACGCCATTCAATTTACATTTGGACCGTTTTTCACATCGTTGTTAAAATGTGATTATTTCATCGACGCTGGAAGATCGCCGGTCCAAACGTTGCTTGACACCAAGTCTGACTGGCTTGAAATTTCTCGAAGCACTCGACCAAACTGTGGAGCCTTTTTCAACGGTTAAAAATGGGATGATTTGATTTGCCCAAAATGCTGAAAAGTGCGACGGTCTTGAAATTTCTCTCACAGCGGTGGATTCCGTGGTTTTGTTGTTTTTTTTTTTTGTTTTTTTTTGCCATGCTTACCGCACGGCATTGTTGACCCAAACCCGGTGGTCAACGGCACACCCCGGGCCAGCGTCCAATGCGCCGAGCTGGTGTGCATCGGTGCCCCCCGCTGGTTGAAACCTGCAATAATGGCGCTCAGCGGGAGTGAGAGCCGCGCCATTGTTAATGAAAACTCTGCAAGGAGCCGAGCGCTTTCGGAATAATCATCATAATTGTGGCTGCTTTGCGTGCCCCCACCCACCCTCGTCGATAAGTGATGTCATCAAGCCTCACACTCCCTCGCCGGGAAGGAGGTTGACAAAAGGAGTGGAATCTCGCGGCGCGGCCGCTCCCTCCTCGCGTCCACACGATATTCACGCCAGGCTTTTTTGTTTCGCTTTCCCGGCTACAATTCAGAAGCGGAGACAATATGTCTTGTTCCCGCTCGGGAAGGATCACAAGGCAAGCGCGCTCAAGAGTATTTTCGGACTTCCAAGCCGCGCATTGTCGCCGGTTTCCCCTTCCTGAGAATGCTGCGATCGAGCGATGGCCGAGCGGTCACGGACGCTTGCCCCGACCGCATCGCCGCTAAGAGTGCTCGACACAGAGTTGGGCGAGAAATCGCACCCCCCCTTCCAGCCGGAGGCAACCCACCTGAAAGGACGAGTTGCATTTTTCATTCAAAGCTTTGTTGGAATTGATCTTTTGTTCCGGTCGCGAGTGTCGCCAATGTGTGATTCTTTCATCTCTGAGTGAAGATGAATATTTCACACGTGTTTAGGAACAGAATCTGCCAAACTTGAAGTTTCTCACACTGTTCGAACCGATCCACAAAAAATGGTGATTATTTGATTTGAACAAAACGCCCTCAAGATGACGGTCCTCACGCCATTCAATTTACATTTGGACCGTTTTTCACATCGTTGTTAAAATGTGATTATTTCATCGACGCTGGAAGATCGCCGGTCCAAACGTTGCTTGACACCAAGTCTGACTGGCTTGAAATTTCTCGAAGCACTCGACCAAACTGTGGAGCCTTTTTCAACGGTTAAAAATGGGATGATTTGATTTGCCCAAAATGCTGAAAAGTGCGACGGTCTTGAAATTTCTCTCACAGCGGTGGATTCCGTGGTTTTGTTGTTTTTTTTTTTTGTTTTTTTTTGCCATGCTTACCGCACGGCATTGTTGACCCAAACCCGGTGGTCAACGGCACACCCCGGGCCAGCGTCCAATGCGCCGAGCTGGTGTGCATCGGTGCCCCCCGCTGGTTGAAACCTGCAATAATGGCGCTCAGCGGGAGTGAGAGCCGCGCCATTGTTAATGAAAACTCTGCAAGGAGCCGAGCGCTTTCGGAATAATCATCATAATTGTGGCTGCTTTGCGTGCCCCCACCCACCCTCGTCGATAAGTGATGTCATCAAGCCTCACACTCCCTCGCCGGGAAGGAGGTTGACAAAAGGAGTGGAATCTCGCGGCGCGGCCGCTCCCTCCTCGCGTCCACACGATATTCACGCCAGGCTTTTTTGTTTCGCTTTCCCGGCTACAATTCAGAAGCGGAGACAATATGTCTTGTTCCCGCTCGGGAAGGATCACAAGGCAAGCGCGCTCAAGAGTATTTTCGGACTTCCAAGCCGCGCATTGTCGCCGGTTTCCCCTTCCTGAGAATGCTGCGATCGAGCGATGGCCGAGCGGTCACGGACGCTTGCCCCGACCGCATCGCCGCTAAGAGCGCTCGACACAGAGTTGGGCGAGAAATCGCAAGTGGAGCTTCCGCTATCCTGAGAGCCGTGCTGTTATTGGAAAATGTACAACAACAACTTCTTTCCAAACGTGTCGAACATCCACTTGATGCAAACGCATTCAACTTACAACAGTCGACGTGCTTTGTGAGAAATTTCAAGTCACCCGGGCTTGAAGATATTGAGACCGTTCGTTTTCGATGATGCGGCGTCTTGAAATTTTCACACCAAGGCCTTGCTATGGACTTTGAACGGTGATCCATCGACCATCTCAAAAAAAAAAAAAAAAGGCAGCCGATCGCCTTGAGATGTTGTCCTTCACCGTTGAATGTTCCGCCTCGACGGCAGTCGCGAAGCATCTGTCCAAGGCCTCACTCTGTGAGTTGAAGTCCAATTGACTTCGAATTTCCCCTTGCAGTAAGAAAATTGCAAGACTTGAAGTTTGGCACAAAGCTCGTCGAATGGGATCCTCAGCGATCTCAACGCAACGCTGGTCAAACCGGCTTGGAATTTCTCACAACCCTCCAACGAGAAACGGCCTCGTTGGCAATGAGCCTCAGCGGCCATGCGCGCTTGGCCTTTTCTACCAGTTGTGGGAGAAATGTCCTTTCGAATCATGAATATCGGCTGCAGGGCAGCGCCTCTATTGAGCTCAGAGTGGTTGGGATCCGGATTGTAGGGCTCACCCATCGGGACAAACCTCTCCAAAATTCTTTGTTGTTCAGGACCCCGATCGTTTCATTCTTTGAAAGGGAAACTTCTCCCGCGGTTCTCTTCAAAATCGGCCGAGCGGAGAGCCGGGGCGGTCTTCTGCGAGCCGTCGGCTCTTCGGGAAGAGCCGACGGCTGGCCTTAACAATGGGGATGTCTCGGCGGAGGCCCCAGGAAGCTCGCGCTGGAACAGGAAAGAGAGGCGGAGTCCGCAACGAGAGGAAACGGCCGGGGAACAAGGCGACGCCCGGCCGGGCCCGTGTGACCCCCGTCACTTTTTTCACCAGCTCGGCTCCGTGCGACGTTTCTGGCTATGCGCTGAGATCTCGGACCGCGGTCATCTTCGCGGGGCGGCGGGAGGCAACGTTTTGGGAAGGTGGGTCCATTTAGGGGGCATCGCGCTCCGGAGCTCCAAAGCTCCATCTGAACTCTGGCGGCGCGAGCCAAGCGCCGTCGCTCGTCGTGTGACGGCTCAAGCGAAGGAGACTGATGGCCTCCCAATTTGTGAGGGTTGTTGGAACCTCGCGCAGGCGCCCAAAGTCCATTTGGGTTTCGCGGCTTCGCTGTCGCGCGTGAGCAGGCTTGATCGCAAAAGCGCGCCGACGAAAACTCTTGTCCGAAGGGAAACGCGTGCGAGAAATCGCAAGTCAATGCGACTTTGAAACTCTTCCTATGAGCTTCTCGAGTGACTCCATTTCACAAAAAGGCCCGATGTTGACTTGATGCTCGTACTGCTTCTGCTCACAACATGGCCGAGAAGAGAGATGGCATAGTCAGCGTTTCATTCAAAATCAACCGCGATAGGTTCCGGCACCGCCGCTATGGAGGACGGATCAATGGGACGGGTGGTATTTCCGATGAGAACGAACGCAGTGATGGCGTACGTTGATATCTGCTCGTGTTGTGCGTCCAACGTAGGCTGGCGCCATGGCTCCACTGGACTTCCTGTGCTGGAGAGCTGCCACGCTGCTGCTGCTGCTGCCGCCGTGTACGTGATGTATGACTTGTTTTGCTCATGTTGGCTATTGTCCCGTGTTCTGGACACCCGGTCAGAAGCACACTTAATTTGCCGCGCTCCGTGGTCCCCTCCCACCGCATTGTGCAGCCCGCCACATGATTCGGAACGTTTACCTCACAGATCATGATCAACTCTTTCGCGTCATTGTGATGCTAACCATAGAACAGGAAAATGAACTTGTTCTGACAAGATGAGATTTGAAAAATAGCTTTCGCTATTATTTTGTGCGTGTGATAGATACATCGATGGATAATGTGTGTGTGTGTGTGTGTGTGTGTGTGTGCGCGCGCGCTTTCTTGTCTGTAGTTCCCAACGGCGTGGCGTGCGTGTCGGTGCACATGCCCAACGAGGGGCCCATGTACGTCATCCCGGGCGCCGCCCTGGTCCTCCGCGCCCACATCCAATACGGGTCTCCGGACGAGCTGATGGGCGTCACCTGGGAGC